CTGATTGCACTCATTAGGACCTCCAGTGTTATATTGAATAACAGTGGCAATAGTGGACAGCCCTACCTTGTTCTTGATCTTGGACGGGGGAAGGTTTTTAGTTTTTCACCATTAAGTAAAATGTTGGCTGAGGGCTTGTCATATGGCCTTTATTATGTTAAGGTATTTTCCTTCTGTACCAATTTTGTTAAGTGTTTTGATCATAAATAGGTGCTGTATCTTGTTGAAGGCTTTTTCTGCATCTATTGATAATTTGCTTATGTGGTGTATCACATTAATCGATTTGCATATGTTGAACCATCCCTGTGCCTCTAGGATGAAGCCCACTTGATCGTGGTGTATAATCTTTTTAATATGTTGCTGTATTCAGTTCGCTAGTATCTTATTTAGGATTTTTGCATCTGTGTTCATGAGAGATATTGGTCTGTAGTTTTCTTTTTTTGTGTTATCTTTACCAGGTTTTGGTATCAGGGTTATATTAGCCTCAGAAAATGTGTTGGGAAGTATTGCCTCCTCTTCGAGTTTTTAGAAGAGTTTGAGGAGAATAGGTATTAAATATTCTTTAAATGTTTGGTAGAATTCACTGGTGAAGCCATCTGGTCCTGGATTTTTACTTTTAGTTAGGTTTCTGATGATTGTTTCAACTTCCATACTGCTAATTGGTATATTTAGATTTTCCAGTTTTCTTGAGTCAGTCTAGGAAAGTGGTATTTTTCTAAGTACTGGTCCATTTCTTCCAGGTTATTAAATTTGTTTTTATATATATTTTCATAGTATTCTTGTATGATCCTTCGTACTGCTGCAGTGTGTCGTAATTTCCCCTCTTTCATCCCTGATTTTGTTTATATGTGTACTTTCTCTTTTTTCTTTAGTGAATCTAGCCAGGAGTTTGTCAATTTTATTAACCTTTTCAAAGAACCGGCTCTTTGTTGCATTGATTTTTTCTATTGTTTGTTGTTGTTATTGTTGTTGTTTATTTTCAACTTCATTTATTTCTGCTTTAATTTTGATTATTTCTTTCCTTCTAGTGACTTTAGGTCTCATTTGTTCTTTTCTAATTTTTAAGATGAAGCGTTAGGTTGTTTATTTGGGTTCGCTCTTGTTTTTGGTGATAGGCCTGTAATGATATAAACTTTCCTCTTATGACCGCTTTTGCCATGTCCCAAAAGTTCTGATATGTTGTACAATCATTATCGTTCGTTTCTATGTATTTCTTGATCTCTCTTTTTATTTATCTCTGACCCAGTGGTTCTTCAGTAGCATGTTGTTTAATCTCCATGTATTTGTGGTTCTTTAGCTTTCTTTTTACAGTTGATCTCTAGTTTCAAAGCATTATGATCAGAGAATATGGTTGCTATGATTTCAACTGTCTTACATTTGTTGAGGCGATCTCTTTGTCCTAGTATGTGGTCAATCCTTGAGAATGTTCCATGTGCACTAGAGAAGAATGTATAATCCGCTGATTTGGGATAGAAGGCTCTGTAAATGTCAACTATGTTTAGTTGGTCTAATGGATCATTTAAGGATGTTATTTCCTTATTGATTTTCTGTTTGTATGTTCTGTCCATATCCGATAGTGGCGTATTTAGGTCCCCTATTACGATAGCGTTTTGGTCTGTTTCTCCCTTTAGTTCTGTTAGTAATTGCTTTATATGTTTCGGAGCTCCCTGATTGGGGGCATAGATTAATAAGTATTATGTCTTCTTTGTGCATGATTCATTGTGAAGTGTCCCCCATTTTTTTTTTACATTTTTTATTTTAAGATATTTGTTTTCTATATGCATTATAGCTTTTTTAGTCTATCATTTCCTGCATTACTGTCTGCCCTTGTGTTTATTTTTTTATAGTTAAATGTTTAAATTCCTTTCTTATTTCCTTTTGTGTATATTCTATAGCTATTTTCTTTGTGGGATTACATTTAACATCTTAAATTAAAACACTTATTTGATTTTATAGCAGCTAAACTTCAATAACATAAAAAAATACTCTTTTATAACTCTGTTCTCACCCCTTTCAGTTGTTCATGTTACCAAATTACATCTTTAAGTATTAAATGCCCCAATAACTTAATCTAATAAGTATTTTAAATGCATTAGTCTCTTAAATTATGTAGAAAACTACATGCAGAGTTATAAACATGTTATAATAATACTAGCTTTTAGGTTAATCATTGAAAAAAATTAATCTCCTAAATTACATAGAAAACAAAAATTAGACTTACAAACCATTGTTGCAGTAATACTAGTTTTTATAATCGCCTATGTATTTGCCTTTCTCAAGATTGTTATTTCTTCATATGATTTTGAGTTTCTTCTGTGTCCTTTCATTTCACCTGGCAGGACTCCTTTGAGAATTTCTTGCAAGGCAGGTCTATTGGTAAACTCCCTCAGCTTTTATATATGGAGTGTATTAATTTCTCCCACAGTCTTGAAGGACAGTTTTGCCAGATATAGGATTCCTGGTTGACTTTTTTTTTTTTTTTAAGCCGTTGAATATATTAGCCCATTCCCTTATGGTCTCCAGAGATTATGATGAGAACACTGCTGATATTCTAATAGAAGATCCTTTCTGTTTGAGGAGTTGTTTCATGCTTGATATTAAGATACTTTATCTTTGGCTTTCAAAGTTAGATTATAATTTTTCTTAGTATGAGTCTGTTGGAGTTTATCTTTCTTGGAGTTCATTGAGGTTTTTAGATATTTATATTGATGTCTTTACTTAAATTTGGGTAGTTTTTAGCCATTTCTTCAGATTTTCTGAGCCTTTTTCTCACCTCCTGGGAATCCCACAATGAGTATATTAGTTCACTTTGTGGTATATCACAGTTCCATTAGGCTCTGTTCACTTTTCTTCAGTCTTTTTTTCTCAGATGTGATAATTTCCGTTGTCCTCACTTCTTTTGCCAATTCATTCTTCATCCTGCTGGAATCTTCCTTTGTGGCCCTCTGGTGAACTTTTCAATACAATAATACTTATTGTATTTTCATGCTTCAAAAGTTCTCATTGGTTTCTTTTTAGGTTTTCTAGCTCTTTATTGGCATTTTCATTTTGTTCATAATTTTCTTGATTTTCTTATCTCCTTTTAGCTCTTTGAATTTCTTTAAGGTAGTTTTTGTAAAGTCTTTGACTAGTAGGTCTGCATCAAGTGTTTTTCAGGAATAGTTTTTGGAGGAGTTCCAAACATGAGTACCATGTTCTCAGGGAGAACTCTCTTAGCGTCAGTTACCTTCCTAGCATTGATGTATGACAATACATGCAGAAAGTATTGCTGACCTAGGAATTGCAACTGGCTTCAGAGTCCAGAATTTTATTGACTCTTATTGACTCATTCTTATGTGACTCAGTCTCCTGCCTTCCCTCTATTTCTTTCTAGAGGCCCAGTTGTTATGTCGTGGCTCAATGCCCCACCCCTCTAATCACACAGTGTTTCTAGTGTGGTGAGGCCTTTCCTGAGTCATCTCTTCAGCATAAACTATCTAGGGCTCCAAATGTGTTACCTATTTATGTAAATATCCAACCTTGAATTGACCATTGTTCAATAACCCTGCCCCTCCCTTGGGTCTCCCATTCAAAGTGTCAAAGTCCAGAGACCTGGAAAGAAAGATTGTATTTCTGGGATTCAAAGGTAGCAAAACAGCAGATACACAGGCAGTATTTTCATTTTTATTTTTTTTATTGCAGAAATGGTGTGCTGTTACTTCTATAATGGCATTATTAACAGGCTTTGTTGTGTATTGGATTTCTTTCAGGTGACAGAGAAAAATTCAAGACCACAGAACCTATCATTTGTGAGCCAGGTCTGTCGGAGAGAGCTTCACTTCAGGAACAACTAACACAAGGAGCTGGAGCCCTAGAAGATTCCCAGGTGGACCAAACCAGGGATCAGGATGGGCCATTGGAATTGCAAGAAGGACACTTGAAACCAGAGATAGATCCCCAGTTGGAGAAGCTCCCTAGGAAATCAAGCTCTGAACATGGCGATTTAGGGACAGCTGATGGTGTATGTTCAAGGATTGTACAGGAGCCAGGAGGTGCTGTCCTTGACCATGACTCATGCAAATTAGGTAAAGATCCCATGATTCAGGATGAGGAAAATATTTTTAAATGCAATGAATGTGGGAAAATTTTTGACAAGAAACGCCTCCTTGCTCGACATGAGAGGATTCACTCTGGATTGAAGCCCTATGAATGCACAGAGTGTGGAAAAACCTTTAGTAAGAGCACTTACCTCCTTCAGCACCACATGGTCCACACAGGGGAGAAGCCCTATAAGTGCATGGAGTGTGGGAAGGCCTTCAACCGAAAATCACACCTTACACAACACCAGCGGATTCACAGCGGTGAGAAGCCCTATAAGTGCAATGAGTGTGGAAAGGCCTTCACTCACCGCTCCACTTTTGTCCTGCATAACAGGAGCCACACGGGCGAAAAACCCTTTGTGTGCAAAGAATGTGGAAAAGCCTTCCGAGACAGGCCAGGTTTCATTCGACACTACATCATCCACAGTGGTGAGAACCCTTACGAGTGCTTCGAGTGTGGCAAGGTCTTTAAACACAGGTCGTACCTCATGTGGCACCAACAGACTCACACTGGGGAGAAGCCCTATGAGTGCAGTGAGTGCGGGAAGGCCTTCTGTGAGAGTGCAGCCCTCATTCACCACTACGTCATCCACACTGGGGAGAAGCCCTTTGAGTGCCTCGAGTGTGGGAAGGCCTTCAACCACAGGTCCTACCTCAAGAGGCACCAGCGGATCCACACTGGGGAGAAGCCCTATGTGTGCAGTGAGTGTGGAAAGGCCTTCACCCACTGCTCCACTTTCATCTTGCATAAGAGGGCCCATACTGGAGAAAAACCTTTTGAGTGCAAAGAATGTGGGAAAGCCTTCAGCAATCGGGCAGATCTCATTCGACACTTCAGCATCCACACAGGGGAGAAACCATATGAGTGCAGCGAGTGTGGGAAGGCGTTCAACCGCAGGTCAGGCCTCACGAGGCACCAACGGATTCACAGTGGAGAGAAGCCCTATGAATGCATGGAGTGTGGGAAAACCTTCTGCTGGAGCACGAACCTCATTAGGCACTCCATTATCCACACTGGGGAGAAGCCCTATGAGTGCAGTGAATGTGGAAAGGCCTTTAGTCGCAGCTCATCCCTGAGTCAGCACCAAAAGATGCATTCTGGAAGAAACCCTGTCAGTGTAACAGAAGTGAGAAGACCCTTCACCAGTGGACAGACTGCAGTCAACCTCCAGGAACTCCTGTTGGGGAAAGACTTTTTGAATGTAAGCACTGAGGGAAATCTTTTGCCAGAAGAAACATCTTACTCAGAATCTACTCATTCATACCAAAGAGAAACCCCACAAATATCTTCCCTGTAAGAAAACCTGTCGCAAGATTGCTCATCTAATGAGTCATATTGGAGATTGACTCTGCCTAGAGCCTTATTGTGAATCAGAAAATTCATCAGGAGAGAGACCCAGTGGTTATTAGGCCCTTAGAAAACCTTCAGCTACATCTTTCTCCTTAGTTTACACTGCAGTGTTATCTCAGGAATGTTTTCTTTAAAAAGAAGGGAGAGTCTTAGAAAATGAACTGCAAATAGTTTCTTTCAGACTCCTTGCTAAGCCTATGGCACTTTGTCATAGATTCATTAGTTTAGCTGGCAAGAGGAAAGTTTTGCTTCAGAGGTAAAGGACTGAGGGTCTTTATGTGTCTTGTACATACATTCATTACTGTCCAGTGTCCAGAGAGTTAGACAGTTCAGGGCAGGTCTATAAACTTTCATTGAATATCTTGTTCTAAAATGTTGTCTCCACTCTTAAGGAGCTTAATTTTTGTGAGGAATATGAAAGCTTGAGCCATCAAATACCTTTCTATTTGAGGAGGTAAGAATACAAATATAAATGGGGCCGTTTTATTGCACCAATTAAGACTGTTTAAAAGCTTTGATTTTTAAAAAACAAACTTTTCTCAATTTTGTTTTAAAAACCTAATACTCAAGACATTTTCTTGGTCCTGTGCTCTTGGCTTACTTGATTGCTATAGTTATATGGTAAATTTTTTAATTGGGTAAAGTGATTCTGCTGTCCTTATTCTTTATGTAAAAATGATGTATCACTCTTAGTTACTTTGAATTTCCATATAAAGTTTTATATATACTTGACTATATCAAAAAAATCTTTATTGAATTTTAATAGAAATTAAGTTAAATTGGCAGATCAATTTGAAAATAGGCACCTTTACTGTGTTGAGTCTTCCAATTATTTAACAGTATGTCTCTACATTTAAATATTGCTTAATTTATTTCATTACAATTTTATACATTTCAATAACAGGTCTTGCACAATTTTTATAAGATTTATATCTGTCTAGGTGGGTGTTTTTTGAGTGATGATAAATAGCATTGATTTTTTATCTTTCAATTTCCACACAATCTTTGTTAGTAACAAATCTAAAGATTTTTGGATGTGATTTTGGCATCCTGAAACCTTGCTGAACTGTAGCCATTTCTTTTGATAGAATGCTTGGGATTTCGTACATGGAAATATAATTTGCAAATAGAGATAGTTTTATTTCTTCCTTCTCATCTGTATACCTTTTTCTTGTTTTACTGCACTAGCTAGCATTTTCCACTATGACGTTGAATAGTAGTAGTGAGAAAGGATATCCTAGCCTGGTTCCTGATATTGGGGGGAAAACATTAAGTTTTTTATCATGAAGTGTGATGTTAGTCTTAAGGTTTTCTTCATAGAGGTTTATTATCAAGTTTAGAAAGTTTCCAATATTCTTAATTTGCTGAGGTTTTGTTGTTGTTGTTGTTATTTTGAATGGGTGTTGAATTTTGTCAAATGGTTTTTCCTATTAGTTGATATAATCATATTTTTTTTCTTCTGTAGCTTATTGATATGGTGTATTATATTGATAATAGTTTTGAATGTTGAACCAGCCGTGTATCCTTGGAATACGCCCCTGTTGGTCATGGAGCATAATTATTTTTATGTATTATGGTATTCAGTATGCTAGTATTTTATGAGAAAGTTTTCCTTTATTTTCATGAGAGAGAATATGTAGCTTTTTTTTTTTCTTTCATTTGTGGGTCTTACTTGTTTTTGTTATATTGTCATTGTCTGGTTTTGGTGTCTAGGTGATAACAGCCTCCCAATAGGTATTGAGATGTGTTCCTTCTATTATTTGGAAGACAGTGTGTAGAATTGGTTGTATTTGTTTTTAATGTTTGGTAGCATTCTCCAAGGAACCATTTAGTCCTAGAGGTTATTCTTTTGGACCTTTTTAATTATGTATTTATTTTATTTAATATGTATAGAACTATTTAGAGTATTTCATATTAGATTAATTTTCATAGTTTGTCCTTTTCTAGAAATTGTTTCATTCTTTCTAAGCTTTATTTGCTTTAAGTAATCCTTTATCATTCTTTAATGGCAGCAGAATCTGTTTATATACCTTGTTTTATTTCTGATATTGGAAATGTGTCAATTCTTTTTTTATCTTTATTAGTCTTAGTATGTATGAGTTTTTTCATCGTTTCAAAGAACCAACATTTTATATCATTATTTTTACTCTGTTATCTTTCTGTTCCTAATTTCACTGATTTTTTCCCCTGATTTTTATTACGTTCTTTTTGCTACTTGCTTTTGTTGTATTTTCCTGTGTAGTTTCTTGAAATGGATGCTTAGATTACTGATTTGAAATTTACTCTTCTAATATAAGTATTAAATTCTGTAAATATCCCTCACAGCACTATTTTAGCTTTATCTCACAAGTTTTAATATATTTTAATTACATTTCATTCAATTCTAAATAATTTCTTCATTTGAGACTTCCTCTCTGACCCATAAATTATTTAGAAGTATGTAGTTTAATTTTCTAGGGTTTGGCATGTTTTATGTTCTCTTTTTTGCTATTGATTTCTAGTTTGATCTGGCCGTTTAAATTTGTTGAGGTTTGTTTTATGATCGAGGAAATAGTCTGTCTTGCTGAATGTTCTATAAGGCTGCTTGAAAAGAATGTGTATTCTACTGTCGGAGTTTCTATAAATGTCTACACAATTCTGTCAGTTGATGATGTTATTCAGATTTTCTATATCCTTGCTGGTTTTCTGTCTAGTGTTTCTATCAATAGCTCAGAGACAGCTGTTGAAGCCCTGCAGTATAATTGTGGAATTGTCTGTTCCTCCTTTAAGTTCTATTAGTTTTTATTTGCATGTACTTCAAATCTCTGTTGTTTGGTGCATCCACATTTAGGATTGCTTTGTCATCTTGGTCTGTTGACCCTTTTAACATTATGTAATGCCCTCTGAATTTTCTTTGCTTTGAAATATACTTTATCTGATATTAATATAGTCAATATTTCATTTTTTGATTAATGTTTGCATGGTTTATATTTTTCCATCATTTCATTTTCAGCCTTATCTATATCGTTACATTTGAAGTAAGTTTCTGTGAATGGCATATATTCAGGTCATCCTTTTGTTTTTATCCATTTTATCAATTTCTGGTTTTAAATTGGTATATTTAGACCATTTATTGATACATTAGTCTTAAGTCTTCCATTTTTGTTTTTGTTTCCTGTTTATTGTTCTCCTATTATTTTTGCCTTTCTGTGGGTTACTTTAATTTTTAGAATTCCATCTGATATATCTATGATGTTTTTGAGTATCTCTTTGTATTTTAGTGATTACTAGGTATTACATATACATAACTTATCACAGCCTAGGACATATCAACATTTTTGCACTTTGATCTGTAGAAAGCTTACTTTCATTGGGTCCCTTTACATTCCCTATTCTTTAATATAATTGTCTTAAGTATTTTCATACACTGAGCACCAATTTGGGTGATGTTCTTTTTTCCTTCACCTTTCAAAGTTTTTACAAAACTCATGAGAAGCGTAGTCTGTTCACCTTTACTTTTACCCATTCCATTGCTTTTTCTTCCTTCTTGAAATCCCAAGGTTTCTTCTGTTAACATTTCCTTTCTTTTTCACTAACTTTTATAGTCTTTCTTCTAGGGTAGGTCTTCTGATAATGTTGTTTTTGTATTCCTTCATCTAAAAATGTCTTTATGTCCCCTTCATTCCCAAAAGAAAATTTTTGTGGCATACAGGATTCGGGATCAGCAGTTCTTGTTTCTTAATACTTGAAAAACATGTCACTTCTCTCTGTTTTCCTTGTTTTTAGATGAGAAATCTGCTGCCATTTGACCCGTTGTTTCCCTGTCTGTAATGCATTCTTTCTGTCAAGCTGCTTTCAGAGTGCTTTTCCTTTGTGTGTATATAATCCCTTTCTATCCTCATAATCTGTACCTGTGTTCAAGTCTCTAGTCTCACCTCTAGGCACTTTCTATCCCATATGCTCATTGAGCACTGCCCTACTTTATTCTTTCACAGATACATTCTGTATAACTGTTCTGTCTGCTTCTGTCCCCACCCTTTCACATGGCTTTCACTCCATTGACAACTGAAGAATGGCCTCTACCACTGTCTCTAGACTTAAACAGGTCTCACAAAGTTCCCTTTTGCCCTACTCTCTCTCCTCCATTATTAGACCTTCTTATTGCTGCCCTCCTCTCTGATTTGAAGGTCGTTTCCTAGTCTGTGAGTTCCTTCTCTGCTCCTTCAGATGGTATTACTATGCATCAGCTACTGTTTTGAATATTTTACACACATTAACTCTTAACCTTTGCAACAAGTCTATGTAGTAGGTAATGTTATCCCCATTTTACAGATGAGAAAACTTAAGGCGCAAAAAGGTTAAGGAATTTGCCCAAAGTTGTACAGTCAATTAGGAGGTGATGAGGGATTGGAGGCCAGTTAGGGTGGCTGCAGAATTCATGCCCATACCACTTTCTTGTATTCTTCCTCACAGGGTAACTCTGTTTTCCTGGTCACTGTTCATTTTTACTAAAATAGATTTTTAAAATGCTCATTTCTCTATTTCTCATTTGACGATCCATCTTGGCCATTTCTTCAGGTTGAGTGAAATAAACCAAACTCACTCTTTAATGACTATATAATTTATTGTAACTTTTGTAGAAAATACAGATAATCTCTGGGTTTGAGGTTGAAGGGAAGTAGAGAAGAGCTAAAGCAGGCATTTGGTTTTAGATATTGTGTTTGAGGTACCTGAAAAGCATCTCAGTGAATCCATTACCTCTTGTCTTGTCCAAGCCAGATCCCTCGCAGCCATTTTTTTATCACCCTCCATCCAGCCACTGTCTCACCCTCTTCATTTTACCTTTTTATTTTCCTTAGTAGACATTCAATATGTGTGTGTTTTGGTGAATGGCCACACACAGCAGTGTATTTTTATTATAATGCTTGGGTCCCTCACAGAGTGCTTACACAAAGCTGTGTATATAGTTGGCAAAGGATATTGACATGGTGACCTTGAAGAGAAACTATACAGGTTTTTATGGCCAGATCAATAAGACTTTATAAGTCATAATGAATGGTTGTCAGAAGTCCTCAAGACCACTCCAGGTTTGATGACTTATTATGAAGACTTAAAGGACTGAGCATATTACCATACTCAATGGCTATGATTTATTACAGCAAAAGAATACAAAGCAAACCCAGCTGAGGGAAGAGGTATCAGGACTGTAGTCCAGAGGAAACCAGGGCCAAGCGTTAGGAGTTCTGAGTTCTTAATTTAAGCTTCATCAATGAGTTACAACAGTATGTATTAAATGGCTATCAGGGAAGCTCATTAGAAACTCAGTGTCCAGGGATTTTATTGGGCATTCTGTGTAGAACATAATCAAGATTCTAGACCTCCAGAAGGATAGCAGGTCACCAGTATACGCCACATTGTTTACACAAACAATAGGCAAATCGAGCTATTCAGCCTTTCTGGGAGTGTGGGAAACCTCCTAAAGTCTAAGGTCCCAAAGTCTGGCTGAGGGCAAACTTTGAAGCTCAAAGGTAGCAGTTCAAGGCCTGCTATGTTAACTTTTCTTCACCATGACTTGAATGGCACTAAAATGTTGAGTAAGTTCAAATGTTTTTAACAAATTCAGTTTGCTACAACAAAAAATAAGTCATTTTGAGGGAAAAGATTATATATACATGTAAACCATTGTAACTAAAGCAGTTAAATCACAGTAGAAATTCTTACAAAGCAGTCAAGATCTAATTTAGTGATGACAAAGTACAGAGTGTCTGGTGAGAAAGGATCTTGACTCTTAATATCTATATATGTATATAGATAGGTCCTAAAGTGATTTGACTTGCCAATATCCCCTTCGCCTCTGTTTCTACAGAGATATAATGGCCAGGTCAATGCTGTCTATTTCCATTGCACATATGTCAACAATTTCTCGTTTACTCTTTGTTTCCATTTGAAACTTGTAGCCTTCGGGTTCAAAAAAGAGAAAATTAAAGAATATGTGGTCATAATAAGTCCTGTGTCATTGAATATGCATAACTTGAGATTGAGGAATGTGTTATTTCAGTCCAGTCATGTTAACAGGTCCGTGTGTGAGTCTTAGTGGGAGGGCAGGGGAATAGGTGGCCTCCTCAGGGAGGGTCCTCTGCAGGGCCACGATGCTGGAGACCTGCAGGCACATGGTGTCTGGGAGTGTGTGCAGCTCCCTTTGGACTCTCGCTCCTGCTGCTCACAGACCACCTTCCCAGTCTTAGTTGTGGGAAGCTGAGGTGCCTCCGGAATGCTTGGTGGTGTCATCCTTGAGTTGTGAGGGTTGAAGATTTATAATGTTTGCTCACAGGTGTGCTACACATCTCACAATGGAATTATCTCAGCTAAATTGAAAAAGGGCAGTGACAAGAGCATAGGCCCTCTAGTTAGGCTACTTGGTTATGCTTCTTGGCCTTGTTCTTCCCTGCTAGATGGCGTTAGGAAATTCCTGTCCACTCTGTAATTTGGAGGTCCATGTTTTAAGCATATATTTTTGTTCTGATATTTTACATCTGACACCTTGCTCATACTGGAGAGACTGCTCTTCTGAGGCCTAGCTGATTCCTAGAGGTAGCAAAAGACTCCCCTGTGAGCATGCTTTTTACATGCAAAGTAACCGGTCAGAGGCCACACCCTTCAACTACCTCCTTTCTAGGTCTCACATTCTCCTTGCCCTAATCAAGAGTCAGATACCAAGCACCTAAGAGACTTAAGTGGTCTTCCTAGATTTGGTCAAGGGCCAGTTTTTTCTTTGGAATGTGTAGCATTTGAGCAAATAGACTTCAGTTAACACTTTCCTGCACAGTCCATCCTCCTGGACCTTGGCCTAGGCTCTGTTACAGCAAAAAACAATCATATTGCCTGAGTATGTACTTGTAATAAAGCAATTCTGTAACAGATACACTGTAGTGTCATCAGAAATATGCCTAACATTTGAAGGAGGAAGTGTGGGGTATGGATAGATTTAAAGAAACGCCCAAAACATCCTATAAAGCCATTACATCCATATCCATTTCTATACTAATTTGATTACTCGTTGTCCTCTTTGATCAACTGTTATTTGTGCTTTGTGATAAACCACCTCCCCTGTCACCACATTGGTTTAGGCCATAATCCTTGCACATATAGAAAGCAGTGAGAACTTCCTAACAGATCTCCCTCCTCCTCTCATGACACTTTTATAGTCTTAAGATAGCAAACTATTCATAGGGACCACACCTTTCATATGGAAATTAAACAGTCCAAAGACCTTAACTGGAACCAGCCACTCTTTCTGGCTCTTCAACTTCCAGAGACAATATTCTGTCCTGGTTATCCTAGGACCTGGTACCACGAATAGGGAAGCCACTATTCCTCAGAGTCTGCTGACAATATCCAAGCTAGCCAATCCTAAGCTGTTTCCCTGGCCTGGCCTTGCCTTGCCTTGCCTTTCCTGTGGAAAACACAATAAAGGCTATGAGTTATGCTTTCTCTTCCACTTTTCCTGCCCCTTGACCCATCCTGGTCTTATCCTTGTGGCCTAGCATGATAAGCCCTGCCTTCTGTTTCTAAAGATCTGTGAGTATAAACTTTTTCCTTCATGACAATTATTTCCAGGTCTGTGTATCCTATCATACCAGGCTAAACAATTCCTAGGTACACATTAGAACACACAGGGAACATACAACTTCCTTACAATAGCCTGCAAGGCTCCATACAACTTGTCTCCATTTATCTCTCCAACTTATTGTGTACTCTTAACTCCTACAGATGCAGCTCTAGCCACACTTCTTGCTTTTCCTCAAACACCCCAGTACTCTCCCACTTCAGTTTTCTTGACCTAGGTGTTCTCTATGTGAGACACTGTTCCCTCAGATATCCACTTCATGACTCACTCCTCAAGAGTCTGCTCAGATATCAATGTCTCATTAGACCTGTTCCAACCACATTACTTAATATTGCAAAATTGCTTTCTCCCACTATTTCTTACCTGCTCTACATTTTTTCTCCATAGCACTACCTCCTTTTAACCATCTATATTGTTTAGGTTTTTTGTTGTTGTTGTTGTTATTGTTTTAGTTATTGGTACATTGTAGCATTTATCAGTTCTACGTTATTCTCTTTTGCTACATACGGTCATTGTTTAGAGCAATGCCTGTCAAAAGATAGGCATCAATAAATACTGAATTAGTTAACAGGTAAATGTTTATAAACATATTTTCAGATGATTATAAGTGACAAAAAAGAAATAGAGCAGCATGATCTTGGAGTGGGGACTACTTTTAAATTGAGAGAGATCTAGAAAGGCCTCTGTGGAGGGAATAGTTATAAGCTGAGTCCCACCACCCTGGACCTCTAATGTCAAGTTACTGTTTTTCTTTTTCCATATTTAGTCACTAAGTCTAGTTACCTCAAGTGGAAAGGAATCAAATTCTGCCACCTGAAGTAGGAGTAGCTATGTATCATTTGGAATTCTTAAGGGAGATTTGTCTCATTTCCTTCTATTTATTTACATGTTTTTTACTTTAAAAAAATTAAATAAATATGAATACTTATAAGAACTGTGTGTTTTGATTTCTATTCTATACACATGAGGGGCAAGGGCAAAAGGGAAGGTCAATTCTTTTGTATTTAGTAATTGTCCTTGATGGTACAGCAGGGTCAAATGCTGTTAACCTGTTTTCATTTTTGGAAGCTGCATTTTATTTTTAGTTAAGTATGTGATAATTTTATTGCAGTCTTAGGAAGCAAGAATAGAAATAATAAAGAAATTGAAATTCATGTTATTAGCAATTTTATAACCAGTTTAGTCCTAAGTATAGCAGCCGATTTTGGAATCATGATTTGGGGTTTGATGTCTACTTCTCAAAGCATTTAAAACAGTGAGAAGGCAATATTAAACATTTCATTTTAATTAAATACTCAGAATAAACTTTGATAAGTTTCCAATTATTAGTTAAATATTTAGGAACATCTAATGTACTAAATTAATAAACTTTATTGTGCAATGTAAATATTCGAGTGGTGCTTGATGGTGAGAGAATGTCAACTGTCCAATAAATGTAAAAGATGAATGAGAGTGCAC